ACACACACATCATTAACTTTCAAAACATTGTCTTTCTCAAAGTTTGCAGTAGTCAGTTCAGTTCTGGTTTCTTTTTGGATTTTGTGTATTTAAAATATTGTCTTTCTCACTTTGGTGGTTCGATTATGATCAGGATCCAAAGATCTCAAAGGTAAGATATCATACCTCTTGGGATCTCATTTTAATTTTCGAAGGCTACCAAAATTAAAAAATAATTAAATCTTAAAAAGAAATAAAAATTAAGACGGTGGTTTACGGAGAGGCACCGTCGTAGTATACAGACGTGGATTCCATTATATTATACGACGCGCACTAAGAACAGTTGGTCGTGTTTAGTTAGGAGTTAACACCGCAGGTTTTTTGGTGAACTGTCGTCTATATGTTCTACGTCGGTGGATTCATACCTGCTGTCGTTGTTTTTTTGGTCAGATTTTAACTCTGAAGAAAACCTTTTTTAAAAAACGACGCTTTTTTATTTGTGTGTGTCGTCTTTTAAAAATATTCAACAGTAAGGCACTTATCCACGACCGTTTTTTTTTTTACCGTCGTCGTTTTAAATACAACGACGGTTTTATGTTCTGCCGTCGTCTTTTTCGCTTTTTGTAGTAGTGTGCACTGATGGACATATTTTATATTATATATTTAGCCCCATTCTTAGTATATTTTGGTTGATATTTTGGAAGAATTTTGATACTTTGAATTATATTTCCACTATAGGACTTTCGACTTCCTCTGGAGCAAAACATAATCAAATAGGACTTTCGACTTCCTCTGGAGTAATTCCAATTGGAGGACGTTCGTGAGTCACTTAGCTTGATCGTGTCAAAATTTCAGATTTTTCTACCAAGCGGTTATTCTCTGGCAATAAAATAAAGGAGCAGTGCGCGGTGCTGGAATAGTGACGATTTGGGCTTTTATTGTGTTTTGGAGCCCAAATTGACCTCGGATGGGTTCGTGGTTTTCTGGAGAAGTGTTCAGAACGTTTTTATCTTTAAAACGAGCTGTCTTGGGCCAGATTTGGAGGAGATTTGAGGCCAAAACGTGGTTGGGCAGATTGGGGGCAGATTCTCCTAATTCAATTTGGACTTTATATCCTAGTATTATTTTATTTTAACCTAGTTTCCTTGTGGGGATTGGGCAGCTGGGTTTTAGCCTAAAACTTTTAGGAGATATTTAAGTTATTTTTCACAGCAAATTTAGGACTTCTCTTTTGGCTTTTGAATGCGACTTTTGCTAGGATTTTTGAAGAACTTCTACTTCAAGGTGTTTTTATTCTTATCCATTCGAATGATATTTTCTTTGATTTTAATTATGAACATGCGTAACTAACTTTCTTTTGCTAGGGTGAGGCCACGAGCCTTAGCAAGAATATGTAGTCTCTGTCCAATTTGCTTATGATTATATGCATGCAGGTTTTCGAATTATTCATCACTGGGTTAAACTATCTAAGTGTCTTGATGCTTGATCACCATTAGGATGTTTAGAAAAGTAATTTGATGCAATTTTGGTCGGAGGTCGGTCCCTGAAATTGACGAAGGCTTCTTTTGATTAATATGTGCAATTTCACTTAGGATGAATACCACGTCTTAAGGGTTGCATGGTTTGTCAAAAGGTTTCACAGAACTTAATGAGTTATGTATGTTTAGATTTGATATGAATACCACAAACGGATTGCATGTGTGATATATGCTCTATGTTGGGGGTCCAAGTAGGCATATATTAGGAATACCTAACCTTTGAAATATGCATGTATAGGTCATAAGTTATTGGGAAAACTATATAGAATTGTTAAGGTGACGGCGGATCCCTAGTGCTTTCTTAATTTGATTTCTAAAAACACAACTGTTTCCCTTACTCTTAGCTTTAATTTTGCATATTGCCTTATTTTTATTAGTTAAATTCGTTTTAATTTAAGGTCTTCAAATCAAACATCTCAATTTTCTCTTTTACAATAATTAATAATCCCTGCGGAGAACGACCTTGTGAGAATCATTTATACTGCAACAACCTTGTCATTCTTGCAAGTTTTATAGGAGTTTTAACCCTGTTTGCGCAGGTACTAAACTTCCTATCAAGAAATTGGCGCCGTTGCCGGGGATTATTTAAAATAATTCGTTCTAATCAGATTATGCATAATTATTGCTGTACATACATACAAAAAAAAGAAATAAATAATTTTCGGTTTTATTTTATTTTTACAGATCACAGTAGGGCAGTGCAGATTATGATCTGTGCATGGTCAGCACATGTTCAGCATATCAGAAATTGTTTCCGTTTGATCCAGAACCTGAGCAATCTTTAAGGAGGAGACGCAGAGAGCAAAATTTGCTGTGGGTTCCTTCACTGCAAGGGACTTTTCTGCAGTCTTTATATTCTGAGGACCTGCACAGTAAAGAAACAATGGCTTTTGTTATTCCAGCAGCTGGTGATCCTTTGGGTAATTCTTTAACAGCTCATGCCACTAACATACCAGGTTGCATTACATATCCAGAAGTGGAGGAAGGGTCTACATTCGAAATCAAGCACCACATGGTGAAAGGATTCTCAGCTGGATCTATTAAGCTTTGTTTATTTCCTTACACATTGAAAGATCAAGCAAGGAGATGGCTCCTCACACTTCCATCTGGAAGCATTAGCACTTGGAACCAACTCAGTGAAAAATTCTTAAACAAGTATTATCCAGCTTCAAAGACTCTTGACATGAGAACTCAAATTTTATCTTTTGCCCAAAAACCAAATGAAGAGTTTCATGAGGCGTGGGAACGGTTTAAAGAGTTGAATAGAAAATGTCCACATTCTGGTATTAACAGTATTGATCAAGTGCATATGTTTTTTAGAGGGTTAAATATGACAACAAAAACTCTTGTCAACGCTTCATGTGGAGGTTCGTACAAGGATAAAAATGCACAAGAGGCTTGTTTATTATTTGAAAAAATGGCAGCAGATACACATCAATGGGCAGTTGAGCAGCCACAATCTAGGTCCGTTTTTGAGCTATCTAATGGTTCTCCATATATGTCGGCACAAATTGAAAAAATGGAGAAAAAGCTTGAAAGATTTGATGCAAAATTTGACATGTTATTACAAAGAATTCCATGTTCACAGGTTGCTGTATAGCAGCCCTTACCAGTTGCCTGCAGCATTTGCAATGTGACAACCCATGATTTGGGCTTTTATTGTGTTTTGGAGCCCAAATTGACCTCAGATGGGTTCGTGGCCTTCTGGAGAAGTGTTCAGAACGTTTTTATCTTTAAAACGAGTTGGCTTGGGCCGGATTTGGAGGAGATTTGAGGCCAAAACGTGGCTGGGCATATTCGGGGCTGAAAATTCTGTGGTGCATCGGCTGTACCGGTACAGCCAGTTATCCAAGGGCCCGTATTGCATTTTAAAAATAAAGGGCTGAGATTAAATGACCTGAAGACTTGTTGAGCCCTTTGTTATTAAATATCACGTGACATACACGTGACTCAGAAAACAAGTAAAAAGCTTCAACGAACGCGCAGAAGCCCTCGCGTGCACTGGAGCTACTTATCTCTGCGATTGATCTCTCTCTCTTGAAAATCCAATCCTCATCTATGTCCCAAATCAGAATCTGGGCGTCTCACTTCTGCCGACGCCGAGATGCAACAGTCATCGGACATCGCCGATTCCGGAATCACCATCCACGCAAGGTTTACCTGCTTAGTTGTCTTCTTTTTCCATCGGTTCAATTTAGAAGATTACTCAGTTTTTGTCTTTGAAGAATCATGATCAAGAAGCTTGGAAGCAATTGGGTTTTGGGGTTGATACATCTGGCAGATCACCACATGCTCTCCATTCAGGAATTAATGGATTATGGGTGTGATTCATTTTAGCTCATTGCATTTTCTTCAAAATTTAAACCTTTTCTGATTCATTTATTAGAACTTTTGTTCTTTAAATTCTTAGATTGTTGAAGGTGTTGCTAAAATTTCAGTGTGATTGTTTCTTACCCAGTTAAAAAAAAAAAATCAAGTTTTTGTTATTGGTGGTATAAAGATGGATGCAGAGAGTCAAATGAGGGAGGTAAAATATGCTGCTGATATTTCCTCTATAAGGGAAGCAGAAGCACACATCAAGCCATTCATACACCAAACTCCTGTCTTGTCCTCTGAATCTTTGAATGCTCTTGCAGGAAGGCAGCTGTTTTTCAAATGTGAATGTTTTCAAAAGGGGTGAGTGTTTATTTCTGTTGAGGCCCAAAAAATCCACGGTTCGGACCAAATAAATTCTCGGCCCAATGCAATACCTTACCGAGGAGAAGCCCGATTAGGGCATGCGAAAGTTCGTCATACGCGCTTGCACACATGCCACGCCAAGCAAATAAGCAACACGTCACGCTACAAGCTTAAGTGGGCCCAAGCCACTCAAATGCCCGGGGCTTGCTTGAGTGGGTTGTGGTATGGATGGTAACAAGTTATCATGGGGCCCATCGATGGGCCAAGAAATGGAAGTCTCGGGTCGCTTGGGGGCCTCGAGACTCAAGCCCATTTTCTTAGGCCCAAACATGGGTAAGCACAAGAAAGGAGATGGACCATTGCCTCAACCAAAATAGCCCATTAATCCAATAAACTAGTCAAAAAATAAGCCCATTGACCCAATTAGAATAAACTAGCCAAAAAATAAGCCCATTAACCCAATTAGAACAAACTAGCCAAAATAAAGCCCAACACTTGACAAAGCTATCCCATCCATTGGATAGATCTTGTGGTTGTCCCAAAAGCCAACATAATTAGGATGAAACCAGCTCAAGCCTTGGCACTCAGTTTGAAGGCAAAACCACCAACGAACGTTGGAAAGCTACACGTGAGTGGCTGCTGGGAACAAGTTCCAAATGCAAGAATTCAAGAAACCAACGGATCTTGGCACGCAGGGGAGGACACCATCTCTTAAACCAGCAGGCACATCTACTTCCTTTCCTTCCTCAGGTTTGGCCATGGAAAGGGGAAGAAAGATGAGAAAGAAGATGGGTGAAAAAGGGGAGCTCCTCTCTGAGGCAGCTGCTGGAAGAGACTTGGAGCACCCAAAATCTCTGATTTTGTGGGATAGGGCAGAGCTGGCTTTGCCACCATGAGATAAGTCAAGAAGGAAGAGAAGAAAGGAAGAGAAAAACTTAGCTAAGTTGGGAAGAAACCGTTAGGGTTTCTTGGAGAAGAGCAAACCCCAGCAACTATAAATAGGGCCTCTTCTACCCAGCCAAAACAACAATAGACAGCCTTCAGAGAGCAAGCTTTCTCTCTTGAAAACCCACCACCTTCAGAGAGCAAGCTTTCTCTCTTGCAAACCCAGCAAATTTTCGTGCTTTGCTAGCCCATTTCCCCCATCTCCCCTGCTTTGGCAAAATTGCTACAGCTCTGACAGAGTCACTGTCGAGCTGCCGGAAGCTACGAAAACCACCTAAAACTCTCTTCCTTAGAACCTCTCCTCTCTTCCATTAGAACCTCTGACCTCCATAGGAACCCACAAGCTTTCTCTTTCCAAAAGTGCTAAACCCATGATAACTTTGCTCTCATGCCACATGCCCCTCATGCTAAGCCCAAAAGTTCATCTGTGAATGTGAAGAAATTATCTGTAACTTTCTGTTGTTTTTGTTGGAGAAGATAACCAAAATACTTCCTAAGGCTTTGCTGCCCTTTCGAAGCATTTTGGGGCTTAATTTTCGAACTCAAACAAAGGGGACAACTTCATCAGTCCAGCCCACTCGCTGCCGGAAGGAAAAAGCCCCTACAACTTCTTTCCTAGATTGGTTTGGAATTCATTTAGTTTTCCTCAACCAATAAGACTTATTATTATGTGGCTATGCAGTGGTGCTTTCAAATTCAGAGGCGCTTGCAATGCTGTATTTTCACTTGATGATGATCAGGCTGTTAAAGGGGTTGTAACACACAGCAGGTTTGCTTTCGGCTCATTTGTCTTTCATGGGTATTTCCTTTGATTAGTTTGTGGGATTACCACCTGATATTGTCCTCCAAATTCAGTGGTAACCATGCTGCAGCATTGTCTTCGGCTGCAAAACTACGCGGAATCCCTGCATATATAGTTATACCAAAAAATGCTCTGAAGTGCAAAGTTGAGAATGTCATTCGTTACGGTGGTCAGCTTATCTGGAGTGAGCCCACAATGCAATCAAGGGAAAGTACTGCAGCCAAGGTGTTGCAAGAAACTGGGGCAGTTCTTCTACATCCTTACAACGATAGGCGCATAATAAGGTACACATGCAACTTTCATTTGTTTTAACTGCATATGTTTGGAATTTTGGCCCTTGATGAGGGAAGAGTAGAAATCTTTTGCATAAAGATGACCTTGTTTTGTATCAATATTATTGAAACTTAGGATGTACCTTCAGAGTCTACTGTGTTGATACAAAATAAGACAACATAAAAAGGTTGCTTTACAGTGAGGGTGTTCGTGTGTTTACCTAGAGAATGACCAAACCAAAATCATATTATGAATTGTAAACTGTTGATCAATATGTGTGTCATGGTTACCATATTTTCTTGAAAATACAATCATAGATGCTGCCTTGAATTTTATGGTGATATATAATATCACCCTGGCTACTCCTTGATTAGTATTACCTAGCCTAATTCATAATACTTAAACAATTCAGATGCATTAACGAAACTTCTTCCTTGTAGGTGAATGCATTAGATACTGTTTTACAATATCATAGTTCCTATTAAAGTAATGTGAGGACAGTACCATTCATTAGCATACCTAATGGAGTTAGGGCCTTTATGGCATGTTTAAATGTTCTTGCAGTGGACAGAGTACCATATCATTGGAGTTTCTGGAGCACCAAGTTCCACAGTTAGACACTATTATAGTTCCCATAAGTGGTTGGTTAAGTTACATTTAATCATCATTTTAAAAATTAGTTCACTATTGTTCCTTCACATTTTTGTTGTTGACTTCTGAGCTTTGTTTTCTGGCGTTGATATATGTGTGTTTGTGGGTGGGTGTGTAGGAGGTGGCTTGATATCAGGTGTGGCTTTGGCTACCAAGGCCATCAACCCTGCAATTCGAGTTTTAGCTGCTGAGCCTGAGGGAGCCAACGATGCAGCTCAATCCAAAGCAGCTGGACAAGTTCCACAGTTAGACACTATTATAGTTCCCATAAGAGGTTGGTTCAGTTACATTTAATCATCATTTTAAAAATTAGTTCACTATTGTTCCTTCACATTTTTGTTGTTGACTTCTGAGCTTTGTTTTCTGGCGTTGATATATGTGTGTTTGTGGGTGGGTGTGTAGGAGGTGGCTTGATATCAGGTGTGGCTTTGGCTGCCAAGGCCATCAACCCTGCAATTCGAGTTTTAGCTGCTGAGCCTGAGGGAGCCAACGATGCAGCTCAATCCAAAGCAGCTGGGAGGATAATAACATTGTCTGAGACCAACACTGTAGCATGGTGGTGGTGAGTTTCTCATGAGTTGCTTCATTGGAGGGTTGATGACAGAGCTTCACCAGGACTTGTACTTGCTTCGTTTTGTTTCTATTGAAGAAGCCTCTACGCCAACTCTAAAATTGCTCAAGGCTATGGTGATACAGGACTTTATCAAGAATTGTTCAGTTGTCATTTTCCTTGATTCTGGTAGTTCATGAAATTTCATTGATTTGGCACTATTCAAGTGGTTAGGGTCCAGGATTATGATTGTGTCCACACTGTTTTTACTCTTCCATTGGGGAATTGCATTCTTGATTTTGACCTTGGCTACCTTCTGGGCATACGTGACCAAAGTGGTGGATTTGAAGTTGATAATGGGCATACTGGAAAAGAAGAAAATTTCTACAAGGTTTATGGCCAAGAGCTTGAGTCATTGAGAGCTTTACTTCTTTCTCCCAGGGCTCATAGATGCTACAAAATTGCATATTGTAAAATGAGAATTGCACATAGATGCTACAAAATTGCGTACAGGTATATGCATATGCATATTATAAACTGAGAATTGCACACATGTGCTCTTTATCGCCAATATCTCCCCTGCCGTTTAATTACCTCACATTTCATCCAATCTGTCATTAAATATGAGCGCAAATTGGTCATTTCATACATTAAACATAATTGAATTATGTAAAATAAAATAATATGAAAGGAATACAAAAGGGCTATATGTTCACGCAAACGCAAAGATTGCGTTCATTGAGTAAAGTTACCCGTTCTCTGGAAAAGTAGACCCAACTAACTTACTTTTTCAAACAAACAAGCTATTTGTTCATGCGAATGCAGCGGTTCTGTTTGTTGAGCAAAGTTGCCCGTTCAAACAAACGGGCTTCGTGTGTACGCTCCGAAGAGTTTGCCAACAGTCAGGCAGCGTTTGCATTGCAGACATGCAATTGCATGATGGTGATGCATGCAAGAGTGACTGTGCGCAAACGAAAATAAGAAAAATGGATTTTTGTGTTTTTAAGCTATGTGGAGTTTGCTCACAGGCGGGTAGCGTTTGCATAACACAAATGAAATTGCACTACAATGGTGCAATGCAAGAGTGACTGTGCGCAAACCGAAAAATGAGCCCAGCAGGGGTTGCGTTCGTTGAGTAAAGTTATATGTTCCCCAGAAAAATCAACCCAACCAATTTACTTTTTCAAACAAACGGGTTGGTTGTTCAAGCGAACGCAAGCGATACGTTCGTTTAGTAAAGTTACATGTTCCCCAGAAAAATCATCCCAACCAATTTATTTTTTCAAACAAACGGGCAGCTTGTTCAAGCGAACGCAAGGGGTGTGTTCGTTTAGTAAAATTGTCGTTGTAACATCCCAGTCTGATGTGGGCCCAGTATCCATGCCCCTTCAAGTGACATGTATGAAATTTCGAGGACGAAATTTTATAAGAGGGGTAGATTGTAACATCCCGGTCTAAAAAAGTAATAAAATAATTAAAGTAAGAGAGAATAAAGTTAAATGAGGAAATAAATTGAAATAAACAATAAAATAAAATGATTTGAATTAATTAAGGTTTAAAAAAAAAATTTTAAAATATTAATTAATACTAAAGGGCAAAAAGGTCATTTTAAGTTCAGGAAAGAATTTGGGGAAAAGTCCAATTTTCAGGGGAGACTATGCCGAAATTTCGGTAGAAAGTCTCGATTCTTAGTAAGTGGGCCCGACATCGGTAAGATGTCGAAAATTTTCACCGAATTCGTCCTGGGTTCCGAGGAATTCGGGGCGGGTACTGTCAGTCGTTCCCCGGAAAAATATTCTCATTCAACTTACTTTTTCAAACAAACGGGCTCTTTTTTCAAGCGAACACAAGGAGTGCGTTTATTGAGTAAAGTTGCTCGTTCCTGGAAAAATGGACCCAACCAACTTACTTTTTCAAACAAATGGGCTATTTGTTCAAGCGAACGTAAGGGGTGCGTTCGTTCAGTAAAGTTGCTCGTTTACCCGAAAAATGGACCAAACTAACTTACTTTTTCAAACAAACGGGTTATTTTTTCACACTAACGCAGGAGTTGCGTTCGTTGTGTAAAGTTGCCCGTTCCCCGGATAAATGGACCCAACAAACTTACGTTTTCAAACAAACAGGCTATTTGTTCAAGCGAATGCAAGGGGTGCGTTCATTGAGTAAAGTTGCTCGTTCATGGAAAAATAGACCCAACCAACTTACTTTTTCAAACAAACGGGCTATTTGTTCAAGTGAGTGTAAGGGGTGCATTCGTTCAGTAAAGTTACCTATTTACCCGAAAAATGGGCCAAACTAACTTACTTTTTCAAACAAACGGGCTATTTTTTCACACTAACGCAGGAGTTGCGTTCGTTGTGTAAAGTTGCCCATTCCCCGGCTAAATGGACCCAACAAACTTACGTTTTCAAACAAACGGGCTATTTGTTCAAGCGAATGCAACGGGTGCGTTCATTGAGTAAAGTTACTCGTTCCTGGAAAAATGGACTCAACCAACTTACTTTTTCAAACAAACGGGCTATGTGTTCAAGCGAACGCAAGGGGTGCGTTCGTTCAGTAAAGTTACCTGTTTACCCGAAAAATGGACCAAACTAACTTAATTTTCCAAACAAACGGGCTATTGTTTTACACTAACGCAGGGGTGCGTTCGTTCAGTAAAGTTACCTATTTACCCGAAAAATGGACCAAACTAACTTTGTTTTTCAAACAAACGGGATATGTTTTCATGCTAACATAGGGGTTGGGTTCGTTGTGTAAAGTTGCCTGTTCCGCAGGTAAATAGACCCAACAAACTTACTTTTTCAAACAAACGTACTATTTGTTCAAGCGAATGCAAAGGGTGCTTTCATTGAGTAAAGTTTCATGTTCCCGGAAAAATGGACCAATCCAACTTACTTTTTCAAACAAACGAGCTATATGTTCACGCAAATGCAAAGATTGCGTTCGTTGAGTGAAGTTGCCCGTTCTCTGGAAAAATAGACCCAACTAACTTACTTTTCAAGCAAATAGGCTATTTGTTCACTCGAACACAGGGATTGTGTTTGTTGAGTAAAGTTGTTCGTTCCATGGAAACATGGGCCCGACTAACTTACTTTTTCAAACAAATGGGATATTTTTTCACGCAAGCACAAGGGTTGCGTTTGTTAAGTAAAGTTGCTCGTTCCCCGAAAAAATAGTCCTAACTAACTTAATTTTTCAAACAAACGGGCTATTTGTTCACGCGAACATAAGAGGTTGCATTCGTTGAGTAAAGTTCTCCGTTCCCCTGAAAAATGGACCCCGCTAACTTACTTTTTCAAACAAACGGGCTATTTGTTCAAGCGAACACAAGGAATGCGTTCGTTAAGTAAAGTTTCGCAGTTCCCTGAGAAATTGGACCAAGGAAAATACTTTATCAAACAAACGCACTATTTTTTCTCTCGAACGCAAGGGTTGTGTTCGTTGAGTATGTTGCGTTCATTTGATAAGTTAGTTTGTACTTCAAGTAAAATAAACGACTTTAACTAAACCAACCAAACCGACATGGTTTATAGTATAAACGATGGCTTCTAGAACATACTGACGGAATAAAGGTTATAGACGACGGTAAATACATAACTGTCGTTGTGTAGATGTTCTAACATCGCTACACTACAGAATGTCGTCTAATTAAATTGCAGTGAATGCTTTAATGAAATAGACGACGGTTTATAAAAGAATGAGATGACGGCAAGAAAAGACCGCCGTTATTTTCAAGGTAATAAAATTCAAAACAAGTAAAAGCGTCGTGGTATTTCACTCACAATGACAGTTCTTGGAAGAAATAGACGTATCATTGTTTCCAGACGTCTGTAAAGATATACCGTGTTGTTTTAAAATTTTGATGTCGGATATTTAAAAGAGCTACATCTATTTAAAATTTAAAAACAGAAAAAGAAAGTATCATAGATTTTACCATTTCAGCTTGCTATTTTTCAGCAGTATCAGCATCAAGCTTTGGATTTTCTTCCTCCAAAACTAGGGGTCTCACATTGGGCTTTGGTCTTGAGGCAGTAAAGGAATTGGTGTTTTGAGCATGTTGGGATCAAAATTGGGAATTAGTTGACGGAATTGTGCCAACATAATTTCCCTCTCTGCTCTGACTCCCTCCATAACAGTTTCCTTTGTCCTAGCCTCCATCCTCAATGACTCTGCTCTGACTGCCTCCACAACACTTTCCTTCAATTTGTCAACAAATTTTACTCTCTGCTGTCTCGGCAAATTGAAGAATTGAGTTGGGGAAACCCCAGCTCCAACACCTCTGACTCTCCCACCATGCTCAGGGGTTCCCAAAGCCAAGGTCAAAATATCGTTGCTCCCAGAGACAATCAGAGTGTCCTCGGAGAATTGTTTTTTTAAATCATTCTAAGAGAGAGAGAGGGAGAGAGAGAGAGAGAGAGAGAGAGAGAGAGAGATAGAGAGAGAGAGAGAGAGAGAATGTTAGTGATTGAATAGACTGAAAAACAGATAAAATATAAACCGCCGTGGTAATTCGATTCAGACCCCGGTTTCCTAAAAACCGTCTTGGTATTTCACGTCTGACGACGATGCAGAAACAAACGACATCTAAATGAATATGAAGAAAATTAGACAAAAAATCAAAACCTATACCGTCGTGGTATTTCAATGAAGACGACGGGCTCTATAACAAACCGACATAGTACATAACTTCAAACGGCGATTTCTCTATGAAGTTATAAAGCTGAGGGGGTTCTTTTAACTTCTCCTTCTCATTTGCGAATGGAAGGATAAACTGCCTAGTTAAGGTAGACTTGAAATCCTTCCATTTTTTGGCGGCAGACGACAGCACCATTTTCTTGGACCCTTCCCCAACAACATAAGCCATTTGAATAGCTTCCCAAATCTGCTCCTTCAGGTCCTTGGGCAATTGAGTCCATTTCTTGTCCACAAGAGGGATTCTGGTGCGTGCCAAAACACCAATGTAAGATTGCATCTCACTAGCAGCCTTGCCATGTGGTCTGCCCCTTTTATTGTACTCAACCATTGGCTTAATCTTCTGGATTTTCCTCTTCCCAACACGGCTCATTGTGTCGCAGAGCTTGGGTCTTTCTCGAACGTTGATAATAACACAATAACACATATTTATTGCGCTTAGCATTTAATTTCAAAACAAATATAAGGGGTAATTAAATAATATTGTGCAATTATATTTTTACTTGGTCAAATTGGTTTAATGTCATTTTATTAACTTTGATCAATGACTTCCTATGTAGGTTTGTGTGTTGTGAAAACCAACTCAATTTGCATGCCAAGAAGTGTGCCACCCAAATATAATATGCTAGTGGCCAATTAAAAAACTTCAACATATCCATGAAGCAATGATGATGAAGAAAGAAGTGCAACT